TGAGAGTGAGAGTGAGAGTGAGAGTGAGAGGGAAAGCAAGGGAGATTAAGGGAGAGAGGGAAGAGAGAGGGAGAGGTAAAGGGAGAGAGAAGAGAGGGAGGGAGGGCAAGAGAGAGGAAAAATGAGATTAAAGGAGAGGGAGAGAGAGAAAAGAGAAAGAGGGGGAGAGAGAAAAGAGAGAGGGAGAGGTAAAGGGAGAGAGAAGAGAGGGAGGGAGAGGGAGAGAGAGAGGGAGAGAGAAAAAAGAGAGAGGGAGAGAGAAAAGAGAGAGGGAGAGGTAAAGGGAGAGAGAAGAGAGGGAGGGAGAGGGAGAGAGAGAGGGGGAGAGAAAAAAGAGAGAGGGAGAGGTAAAGGGAGAGAGAAGAGAGGGAGGGAGAGGGAGAGAGAGAGGGAGAGAGAAAAAAGAGAGAGGTAGAGAGAGAAGAGAGAGGGAGAGGGAAAGGCAGAGAGAAGAGAGGGAAAGGGAGAGGGAAAAAAGAGGGAGAAGAGAGAGAAGAAAGAGAGAGATGGTTCACATGGGATGCCAAAACAGTGGCCGGCTCCGTAAACAGCCTCCGCCCTAAACCCTGGCTGCCAAACGGGAATGGCTGAAGTCACCCAGCCACCTTAAGCCAAGCAGCCTGCTTCTGTTGGCTCCCGGTCAGCCTTTCCACACTCCGGGAATTTCCCCCCTGGATCACCTCCCCAGAATGAGGGGGTTATGCCAGGGGTGAGTTTCAGCCAGTTCGGATTAGTTCGGGCAAAGCGGTCGTTCCCGCGATCAGTTAGCCCCGCCCACCTGCCCCTGCTCTATTCCGTCCTATATTTCCTTTGTTTGAAACCCAGCTGATTGGCGCGGCAGAGCGGATTGCTGCGTCTCACCTGTTTTACCCACCCGGGTTGCAGGAAAAGGTCAGATTTAGTGCTGATTTCAAAGGCAATGTGCGCGCGCATGAAGCGAACTGGTTGTTACGCCGGCTGAATCCCACCATTGGGTAGTGCCAGTGGTGGGATTCAAATGATTTAACAACCAGTTCTCTGCCCTAATGAGCAGCCGGGTAGGCGGGGCTCGACGGTCATGTGACCATGTCTGTGTGGCCACTCAGGTCGATGGGCGCTTCGCCTAGCTGTTACAATGTAATGAGGGTTAACCGGAGAGGCGGTTTCTGTAAGCAGGGCAACAAAGATTAGGCTAGAAACAACAGAATGTTTCCTTCCTGCCTTCCTTGCAGGATTAGCCCTGTAAAGTGGGGGAAAAACAAAAGGAGATTTCTTCCAACAACCGGTTCTCCGAACTCCTTAGAAAGTTAACAACCGGTTCTTCCAAATAGGTGCGAACTGGCTGAATCCCACCACTGGATTCCGCCAAGCAGATTTCTACTCTGCAGGGCCAAACACTTTCTAATATTTTAATCTCATGCCCTCTTGGATTCAGACGTTCAAAAGGGAAACAAGAGCTGAGAGGACAAGATTGGCTCGGCACAGCTTTTTCCTGAAGTATGGGCTGGTGTGTGCTTGCACGTATATACACATTTGGAATTTCAGTATCCAAAGTTCAAATACAGAAGGTCCCCCTTTTCATTTGGCTGAACCGCAAATCCACTTCACTATTCCAGAGGGACCAACCTCTTGAGGAAGAGCTGGGTGTGGATGTGTGGGTGTTTGTATGTGTGGGTGCTTGTGTGTGTGCGCAGCAAACTGCCTCCTTTCCTAAGGCGATGCTCCATCCCCCAGTGCCATCCCCTTACCTTACAGCGGCAGCCCCCATCTGAGGCCTTCCTGCCCCCTCGCTCGTCGCAGACGACCTCCTTCCCTATAGACAGAGAGAGAGAGAGAATGAGAGACAAGGTAGATAGAGGAGAGCGCCTCCTTCAGGCCCGGCCTAGTTTACACTACCTGTCAGGATAATGACAATTTAATAGCTGACCAGCTGCTTTAAAGGCTATAAACCGAGATGATGACATGAGGATGAGTCAGAAGGGTTACTGTCACTTTAAGAAGCTGTATATATATAAGGGAGGCCATGTGTGGGTGTCTCTCTCTCTCCTCGTGTTCTATCTCCATTGTGGTTCTTGTTAAAATATTCATGACTGGGAGAGACATGGGAACGAGGTCAGCCGATAAATAGGCATAGCAACTAGGTCAGCCAATGGGAGCGTAAACAGAGCTGAATCTGTGCAAAGAATTGAAGCAGAAACTTAAGCAGTCTCTTGCTCTGAGAAGTAAACAAGCAGTTTGTCTGGGCTTGTCTGCTGAAATGTAGCTAACGGCTTGTGTTCGCCTGTAACTCTCCTACATTGTGTTTACTTGGGAAAACCACCTGTTGGTATTGTACATTTATTCATCTATTCTTATGTATATAAAGAAGTTAAGGAATCTTGCTGCATCAGTTATCTGAGTGCGCTTCTGGATTTGAGTTTATGCAACAAAATCTTACAGTTCTCCGTGTGGAGTTGAAGATTGATTGATTGCCTGGTATTTGCCTAAGACGTGTAGGTAGGTATATAACTCCTGTATATAAACCATTGTTTGAAAGACAAAATCTCTGTGTACTGTATTTTGCTCCTGGGTTGTCTCAAAATAGTAGTCACACTGTGCACACTCGGACAATACCCCTCTCTGGGATGTGAGGCTGGCTGTGGAGGTGGGGAGACCAAGAAGCCGGTCTCCGGGAGAAGGGTTTGCTCCCAGATGGGGCAGCGAGAACAGCCGGAATAAAAGCAGAAATTTCATACCAGCAGGACGAAGGCTTTCTCGACATTCCGCCCTCTCTTCGAGGGCGTTCAGTCCCGCTAGGCCTTCAGGGACTTTGAAATAGTCCTTTGGGATCCCAAGGAGGTTACCTGGAATCTCGGTGTCTCCTCCAATCGGCACGCACTTCCCGCCTGGCTGGATGGGGTTGCCTTTGTAGCCAGGAGCACACCTGAAAAAGGGCAAGGACGGACAAGGCCAATCAGAGGCCGCCCCCCCCCCATCTCAAAAGGAAATCCCTCCCTCTAGAGGTGGTATTCAGAAGGTTCTGACCAGTTCTGGAGAACTGGAAGCAGAATTTTTAAGTAGTTGAGAGAACTGGGAAATACCACCTCTGACTGGCCCCGCCCCCATCTATTCTCTGCCTCCTGAATCCCAGCTGATCAGAAGGAAATGGGGATTTTGCAGTATCCTTTCCCTGAAGTGTGGAAGGAATGCATATTTTGCAGTATCCTTTCCCTGAAGT